TGAATGATGAGTAAGTCAATGAGCAAGTGGATGAGTGCAAGAATAAATGAGTGAGTGGGTGAATAAGTGGATGGATGAGTGAGTGAATGAATGAAGGAAAGACCTATGTGACACCCTCCTTTGTCTCCCTCTGCCCCATAACATGGCTCCTGTTTCCTTATCAGACCTCAGATTCAATTCAACAGTATTTCTTACACACCTACTTGACAGGCTCTGTCCAAAATACAAAAGCTTTTTGGGTGAATGCAACGTAATAATCCCTATCCTCACCCTCCAAATCATAAAACCTGGTGACACAGGATCTAACTCTTGAATTAAGTAAGAGCTACAATGGAAGCTTTTACTAAGAGGCTCATCTGATCCTATTCACTTCATTGATTGGTTCAACAAGTATTTATTGAACACCTACTATGTGTAGGTGCTCAACACAAGTAACTGGGGTTCTTATTTAGACTGAGTGTACAGAGAGGACCTTTCTGAGGAGGTGGCACTGGAACTGAGACCTGAAGATGGAAAAAAGACAGTCATTTAAAGACTAAGGGAAAAATTCCAGGCAGAGGGAACAGCAAATGCAAAGACCTGAGGCAGGAAAGAACCTCAAGGAACAGAAAGTTAGCCAATGACCCTGGTGCAGTGATGAGGTGGAAAATAGCCCAGTCACCAACTAAGTAATATTAGGCAAGGTACATAACTGCTCTGAGTCACAGTTTCCCCGTCTGTTAATGGAGATCATAATAATGAAGCCTTTTTCAGAGGGTCAAACAAAATCTAGGATAAGTCACCAGCACAACCACTGGCCCAGACTAGGCAGTCAAGAAATGAGTCCACTTGTCATAGGTGACAGACCCTCAGGAGTCATGGTATTTGCAGGGCAAGTTGAAGCCTTTACTTCCTTTCCACTCCCTGGCCTTCCTCCCCAGATTCACCAGTTCATCTCCAACTGATCTCCAGCTCTTCCTATTTGCCTGGGCTCTTTACCCACCATACAGTGCCTCGAGGACTAGTCCTGGCCACTTCCTCACTGACTTGCCTCCCACCTCAGCCATCCTTTTGCCCTTCCAGCATCCCCCACATGCATCTGATTCCCCTTTCTCCCACACTTGTCAGAAATAATTATTTAGTGGAAGACAGCTTTATAAAGAAAAAAAAAGAACCATCTGTGTTTTTCTTCCGTGATTCCGCCTCATAGAGCAGCTTTACCTGCCCTGCCCCTCATATGTCAGAGAAATTTAGAAGCAGGGATGGGATGAGCACCCTGGCTCTGAGGGCAGGGAGCATGTGGCCGTTTAGGGGGACATGAGTCACAGCAACACTGTGGTCAGTCGCCACCTATCCCCACCCCAGACAACGAGCCAGCTCTCCTACACTTATGTGGTGGGTTTATTTTCACTCAGCCTTACACACCACAGGATGGACGTAAGGGGAGAATTACAACAGAAATATACTCGGAAACGTCCCCATCATGCCCATATCACTCATAAAGGAAGCCAAAGTCCTCACCTTGGCCCACAAAGCCCTCCACAACCTGCTTCCATCACTTCCCCACCCTCACCTCCTCCCTCTCTCCTCCTTACTCACTCCACTCTAGCCACATGGGCCTCCTCAATCTTCCTCAAAACACTAGGCATGATCCCACCTCAGGGCCTTTGCACAGGCTGTTTTTTCCGACTAGGAAATGCTCTTCCTCTGATACATGCATGACTCCCCACTTCATCTCTCTCAAGTCTTTGTTCAAATGTCACTTTCTCAGCAAGGTTAAGATCCTCCTATTTCAATCCTAATCTCCCTATTTCAATTATTACAATACACCCACATCTACCTTTCCCAAGCCTTTCTTTTTTCTCCATGACATCTATCATCATTGGTCCTACTATATGCTTTTCTTACTTTTTAAACTATCTCCCTCCCTGGGTTATCAGTACCATAGAGGCAGGAATCACATCTATTGTGTTCACTTCTCTTTCCCCAGTGCCTGGAACATAAAGATAGGAGACTATCTTTATGACCTTGAGACATGGAAGTTGTCTTAAACATGACAAAAATGTACAAACCACAAAAGAAAAGATTGCCAACTTGGCTGCATATGATTTTCAGACTTTTTACAACAAAACATGCCTTGAAAAAAATGAAACAATGAGAAGCTTATGATCAAGAAAATTTGCTAAATGAGCAAATGAGTAAAAAATGAATGAATGAATGAATGAAAATGCTGTTATAACTGAGCCACAAGTTCGGCCCTGAGCTCCTTGGTGGACAAAGCAAAAAGAGAAACAGGATTAGTTACATTCTTTATTTTATTTTATTTTATTTTTGAGATGGAGTTTCACTCTGTCGCCCAGGCTGGACCGCAGTGGTGCGATCTCAGCTCACTGCAGCCTCCACTTCCCAGGTTCAAGTGATTTTCATGCCTCAGACTCCCAAGTAGCTGAGATTACAGGCGCTCGCTACCATGCCTGGCTAATTTTTGTATTTTTACTAGAGACAGGGTTTCGTCGTGTTGCCCAGGCTGGTCTCAAACTCCTGACCTCAAGTGATCCATCTGCCTTGACCTCCCAAAATGCTGGGATTACAGGCATGAGCCACCTTGCCTGCCAGAATTCACATTATTTATGAAGATAAAACAGTCCAGTTTCCAGAGAAGCCCCTATGCCAGACAATTTATTTACTGCCTCTTATTTAATAGTCACAATATATTTCTGGGGAATGGGCTTATTTATAGGTAAACATTTATAGATGTGTAAGGGAGGCTCAGTGACATGAGCAAAGCCAGCTGCTGGAAGGTCAGGCATGGAGGGAAGGAGGAGGGCTGGTCTTGCCCAATCCCTGCCCTGGACCAGAACCAAAGGCTGAGCAGGTAGAGGAGGGCCTAGCTGTGATGTGCAGGATCTTAGGGAGGCCCAGTCACAGGGGAGCTCTTGGCCTGTTCCGTGATACTGCCCACCTGTTATACTAGTGAGAGAGAGGCACTTTGTACGTCCTCACCCTGCACACATTTGTGGCTGTGATAAACTTGGAGTAGCCAAGAACTAGCTCAGCCCCCACATCTGACGGGGGCAGGGAATGCTCCTAAGTCCAAATGATCCAGTTGGCCAGGGATATCTGGTTCTCAGTGACAGTACCAGTCCAGATGAGCCCCTCATCCCATGAGCTCTCCCCATGATTGGAGTTTGAGTATTTTCATCCAGAATCTAACAAAATCCCTGAGGTAATAACAATAATAATAATGGGAGAGGGGCTGAGTGAGAAACTGAGGAGGGAGTTTTGATAAATCCTTGGGCTCCAGGTCCCTGGAAGACCTTCCCTGCAGAATGACCCCTTCCACCTGGATGGGAGTGTGTATACCTGGTTCTCAGGGGCCAGGGGGCAGCCAGGGAGAGAGAGGATACTGATGCCCCCACACAGTTGCTTCTGTTCCAGCAGCTCTAGGCCCTGATCCAAGACACAGAGGAAGTCAATATGTCTGACCCTCAAACTGGGTGGTAAGCAAGCCCCCCAGGGGACACCAAGAAGGGGGATTCAGACACCTTAGACATTACCTCCTCCTTCAGTCTGGTCTTCAGTATGTTTCTTCCCAAACCCCCATCCCCATCCCAGGACAGGAAACCCAAGGCCAGAAAAGTGTCTTCTCACTTGTCACTAACTGGGCATAAAAGGAAGGTCCAAAGATCATGAGTGTGTCGGTGAGGGGACAAGTGAATTATAAGTAAATTAATGAATAAGAGAATGAATGAATAAACAAGTTAGCACATAAATGAGTGACTAAATGAATAAATGAATGAAAGGATGGATGGGTGGGTGAGTAGATGGATGGATGGATGAAAGGAAGGATGTGTAGATGAATGGGTGAGGATGGATAGATGGATGGGTGAATGGATGAGGATGAGTGGATGCAAGGAAGGAAGACAGGATGGATGGATGAATGGGAATGGATGAGCATGGATGGACGGATGGATGGATGGATGGATGGATGGATAGATAGAAGAATAAATGGATGGATGAATGGATGAATGGATAGGTGGATGGATGGAAAAATGGATGGAAGCAAGAAAGAATGGGTGGATGGATGCACAGGTGAGGATAGGTGGATGAGTGGATGAGGATGGATGGATGCATGCATAGATAGGTGCATGGGTGGATGAATGAATGGATGGATGGATGGATGGATAGATGGATGGATGGAGGGATGGGTGAGGATGGATGGATAGATAGAAAGAAGGAAGAAGGAAGAACCAATGCATGGATGAATGAGAATAGATGCATGGATAAATGGAGGTTGGATAGATGAATGGATGGATGGATGGATGGATGGATGGATGGACAAGTGGATGAATGGATGGAAGGATGGATGGATGAATGGATGGATGGATGAGGATGGATAAACTAATGAATGGATAGATGGAAGGAATGGATGGATGGATTGATGGATGGATGAATATATGGGTGGGTGGATGGATGGATGGATGGATGGATGGATGGATGGATGGATGGATAAGGATGGAGGGACTAATGGATGGATGGATGAGGATTGATGAATGAATGAATGGATGGATGGATACAGGGAAGAATGGATAAATGGAAAGGAGGAAGAAAGGGAAAAGTGACAACCCAAAGCATAGATGTTAGGGCAAGGCAAGAGCCATAGTAGAATCCAAGATGAGCTCCCACTCTCCTCCCCTAGGAGGCCTGGTATGGAAGCTGTGAAGTGGACCCTCCAAGCCAGGGCGCCCGTACTTCCTACAGGCCTTCCCAGATTGCTGATCAAGACCAAGCTACTCATCCCTCAGACCAACCTATATTCAGCCCCCAAACACTCCCTTGCAAGCCTAGCCCTTCCCAGAGGAAGCCCTCAGAGGGGGGCCTGACCACCCTCCCAGCCACAAGGTACCCTGCCTGAGGCTCGGGATTTGATGCGCAGTTTGTGGGGCAGAGAGGGCTGACCCAGACCCTCATGACTGTTTCCTGGGACAGGGCAAGTCACCCCAGGAGACAGACCCATGGGATCAGCAGTGGATGTCAGCAACACATCTGATGGCCCTGAAGCCCGGCATCCAGAGGGCATTGGTGACCACAGCCCCCAGCAGGGTCTGAGCTCTGGTCTGGACCCTACATGCCCATCCAAGAGGTGACAGCTGAAGAGGGCAGGTGGGAGGCCAGTCTGCAAGGCCATGTCAATTCTGTTGAGGGTAGGAGGTGCAGACTCTTGGGGGGACCTAGGAGAAGTGGCCAAGCCAGTCCATCTGGGAGCCAGCAGGCAGCCCCGACATCCTGGAATCCCAGCATCCAGGGAACATGGCCTTAAAAGGCAATTGTGAGAGCCAGACAAGGATGACAGTGCTTCAGCCCCAGGCCGGGGGTCCCCAGTCCAGGGGGCTTCCCATAGCAGGGCCTGCAGGGGCAAGGCCCGGGGCCCACCAGTTAGGGGCAGGAGGCCAAAGCGAAGCTTGAGCGCCTTCAGCTCGCCCCTGAGCAGGGCATTCTCCTCCATCAGTGCAGCCAACCTGCCCTCAATGGCTGCATCATTGAGACGTCGCTTTTCCCTGGATCTCTTGGCTGCCTCGTTGTTCTTTCTCCGCTTCTCCCAGTAAACTGTGTCCTTCTTCTCTTCTGGCATGAACTCCCGCTGGCGACGTATGGTGGGGCCCCTGCCCCGAGCCCCCCACAAGGTCTTGCTATGACTCTGAGACACATCTGACAGGCCCAAGAAACCCACATCCATGGCTGCTTGGAGAACCTGGGAAAGAGGAAAGAGATCTTGGAGTAAAGGCAGGAGGTGGACCTGGATGACCCCTTTCTCTAATTTATCCTGTGTCTCCACCATCACCCACGGAAGGGACAGGTGGAGTTGGAACTGAGCTGGAGACCAAGGTTTGATCTGCATTGGTTTGATGCCCAAGGAAGATTGGGTGAGGCCACAAAACAAGAAACCGCTAGAAAGGCTTAAGAGCAGACCACAGTCATCATGAAGAGCTGGTTCAACCCTGTACCCTCAGAAGAACACATGCTCTTCCGGGGTTTTCTCCTTACCGTTGAGAAGGTCAGTAGACAAGCCCAGGGCTCAGTTCAGCTGGAGTTCCAAGGTAAGATTCTTGGAAACCCAGAGGGAGACAGAAGGATGACTGAACCTAGAAATAGAGACTATGTATCCATGGAGGTAAACAGAGCCAAGTCGAGATCAAAAAATAAGCTGCTATTCACCTAAACTGTGCCCAGATTACACCCCAAGATCGCTTCAATTTGTGGCCAGCATTTTTTACCTGCCCAGCCATCCATCCATCCAACTACCCACCCGTTCATCGGATAATCCAATCACTCACCCATTCACTCAACTGTCCATTTGTCCATCCCTCTACCCAACTCACCATCTATCCATTTACCTATTCATTCACTCACTCACCATCCATTCACTCAAACCCATCTCCCCATTTCATTGTGCAACTCTCCATCACATCTACCACTTACTCATACACCCATCCATCCAAACGTCCATTGATTCACTGATAGATTCATTTTTTAAAATCATATTGTGCCTTCACTAGGTATCTTTTCATCCATATATTCATTCGTTGGTCTCAACCATCCACCTGTCTATTCCTCCATTCTTTCATTCATCCAAATATCCCTCCTATGTGTCAGTCGCTCTTCTACAAATCCATTCATTCATCTGTATATTCATTCATAGGTCCATTCATTCATCCAACCAACAAAAAAGCCATTTTTTTAGAGGCAGGGTCTCACTCTGTCACCCAAGCTAGAGTGCAGTGATGGGATCATAGTTCACTGCAGCCTTGAACTGGTGTTGGGCTCAGGCAATCACCATGCCTCAGCTTTCCAAGTAGCTGGGACTACAGGTATATGCCATTATGCTCAGCTATTTTTAAATTTTCTGCAGGGACATGGTCTCACTTTGTTGCCCAGGTATGAAAACAAAATGCAATTCCCGTGTGCCTAGTGTTGAAGAATTAGAGTGTTGGTAATTGAGGGCAGAGAAAAAAGTCAAAGGTATTAGATTCCCAACTCCTAAGGTGGAGCCCAGAAAAGATGCCCAGTGTCCCAGAGATATAGCAAGGATGGGACTCCTTATATAGCTCCTTTGCCTCAGCCTAGTTTCTCACATTGGTTTTCATGAAGACTCTAACACAAAGATCTGGGTTCTACCAACCACCTGGGGGACGTCATCACCTTCTGTGATTCGGATACAAAACAGGTGCAGAGAAAAACCACAGCAAGGTGGAAGGATTCTGTCTAAAAATTCAGGACAAACTTCAGGAAAGAAGGGGCACTGAGGGCTGAAAATCGATCATCTTTGTTCTGAAAACCGATGACTGTCATCTCCATAAGGGCACGTGTATGTCTTTTTTTGTCTACTGTGGTATCCCTGGTACCTCGCCTTGTGCTTGTAAATAGTAGGTGGTAAATAAACACTTGTTGAATGAATTAATGAATTCATGAATGAACACATGAATGAAAACAACCTTGTTCACAGCTGGAGAGCATTTAACCCCCTTGCTGAACTCCCACCCAAGAAACCATGAAAACACACCACATTTTTCTGTTTGCTCCGGCAGAAACTCAGTGTTGAGTTTTCAGATAAATTGTAACAACTTTCCTAAATTGGGAGTATAGATTCTTCTTCCCCAACATTCTAATTTAGTCTTTTATTCTTCATTAACAGCCCTTGGCCTTAGCTTCTGTGGCTACATGGTTATGTGACATAATTCAGGTCATGTTTGACAGAGGATAAAGGAATATACAACCAGCCAAATAGCAACATTCCTAGGAACTCTGATAATGATCCTAAGTGCACATTTCCCAAAGTATGTTCCTAGGAACCCCAGTGCCAATGATGGCGTGCCCTCAAAAAGAGAATGCAAAAATGTTTGAGAAATATTGCATACCTTATTCCTTAGGTAGGTTAGGAGAATCACAAAATACATTGAAGGCTCTGAGAAGTCCTGCAAAAAAAAAAAAAAAAAAGTTTAGTTTTGTTTGACTTAGAGGCTTTCAAATTTATTTGCCCAAGAAATGCTTATTATACTTCACAAAACAATTTGAGGTCCATATTTATTCATTCATTCACTGTGCCAGGTTGTAAGGTAGACAAAAGAAGAAAATCAAATTGCCTCCCAGCCTTCCCAAATCTCCCAGTCTCATGGAAAAGTCGAGTGAAATTATAATAAAGAAGAAAATAAGTCTAGAGAAGCTCTTTCATCTGCTCACATCACACAGTAAGTCAGTGGCAGGACTAGGATTTAAACTCAAATCTGTCTAATGTGTGAGTCTGTTCTGTCACACCATGTGACCTGCCCATGTGCTCAGGAGGCCGCCATGTCTGGAAATCTTGGTTGGGCTTGGAGAATAAAAAATAAGGCCAAGCACGGTGGCTCATGCCTGTAATCCCTGCACTTTGGGAGGCCAAGGTGGGCGGATCACAAGGTCAGGAGAGCGAGACCATCCTGGCTAATACGGTGAAACCCTGTCTCTACTAAACATACAAAACATTAGCCAGGCTTGGTGGCACGTGCCTGTAGTCCCAGCTACTCAGGAGGCTGAAACAGGAGAATCACTTGAATCCAGGAGGCGGAAGTTGCAGTAAGCCGAGATCGCGCCACCGCACTCCAGCCTGGGCGACAGAGTAAGACTCTGTCTCAATCAATCAATCAATCAATGCCTTGTGGGGTTCTGCAGTCGCCCAAGTCAACAAGAACTCCTAGTTACTGGAAGGTCTCCAGCACTCATGCCCAGGACCCCAAGTCACAGGAGGGACTCCAGGGCCCATGCCCGGGAACTCCTCTGAGAAATCCTAGTCACTGGGGAGACTCCAGCACCCAAGTCCAGGACCCACTCTGAAGCCGAAAGACATCTGGGCCATCTCTCCACCTGTTGCCACTTGCTGTAGTGGTAGGCAGCTCCACACCTGCCCACATCACATGGGCTGGGGAAGCAGCTGCATTTAGGTGGACTATGGTCCACAAGTGCCAGGTGGGACACCCTGGGTTTGCAATTTCCTGCAGCTGTCTCTGAGCTTTGTTCCTGGCAGCCAGGCTAATAACATAACCCTGCTCAGGTGTCCAAGTTCCCTGAGCCCTTACAGACACCTAGGGCTACCATACCCCTATCAGGAGCATATCACCCCCACTTACAGACCATGCAGCTGAGGCTCAGGAAAAGTTAAGTGGCTGGCCCAGCGACAGTCAGAGATTCCAAAAGTAAGCAGCATTCCTCTCCCAGCATCGTGAGTACCACCACCAACCCTGGCCCCAAAGCTGCCACTGACACCCCTCAAATCCTTCTCCCCTGGCCCCATTCATGCCACCTCCCACTAATGCATCCTCCACTGTTGCATCTACCCCTCTCTCCACTCCCGACAGCCCTGGTCCCAGCCCGAGCATTTTCTGTCCCACCTGGACCCCCACCAGCCTCCATCCTTGTCCCCTGCAAACCCACCATGAGCCCAGAGGCGCCTTTTTAAAATTCCATTTATCCTCTGCTTAAAAGCCTCTGGGGTGTGCTTATGAAAGTATAAGCATCTTAGACTCCTGAAAACTGCTCATATGTTCCTCAATTCACCTCCACCTCCAGCGCAGGATCGGGAATGAAGAAGGAAGGTCCTGCATGAGTATTTATCGGAATAAACTAATAAATATATGAATATTTTTTGGAATAAACTATTCGATGCATAAATATTTTTTGAATGAACGAATAAATGCATGAATATTTTTGAATGAACTAATAAATGCATGGATTTTGGGGCATGAACTAATACATGCATGGAGTTTTTTGAATGAACTGATAAATGCATGAATTTTTTTGGAATGAACTAATAAGTGCATGGATATTTGAATAAATTAAAATTGAGTGAAGTGTGGGTAAATGAATGAATGAGCAGAGGAAGGAATACTCAAAGGGTAGAACCTATGACAGTGTGGGTCCTCTCTCCCCACAAAGGGCTGGGCCTGGGTCTTCCACTGCCCAGACGGCTCACCTGAGCCCCAGACAAGCCCTCACTCGGGGTCCCCCACTAGCCACAGAATTCCCCTGCCACCTTCCTGGCCCTGTCTTGGTGGGGGGCATCAGAGGGTGTCCCAACAACCATTCCAACTTCAAGGGATGTTGACCAGAGCCCAGGAATTGATGAACATCTGTGTAGAGGTGCACAGCACATCGCAGAGCTCTGAGGCCAGCATCTAGAAAGTACCACCTTGGCTCTAGGAGAGAAGACAGAAGTGGTAGGCAAGTCCTGAGATGACCACAGCTGGGCTGGAAAGGAAGAGGAACACAGCCCAGGGGTCCCCAAGAGCCACACCAGAATCGGCAATGCCCAAGGAAGAGAAGTGAGTGTGGGCTGGTAGTCACATAAAGAAAGGACAGGCCAGAGTAACTCTGAGCAGTCAGCTCTCAGGCCACACGACTGAGATAGAGGAAAATTTGTTATCACTGTGGTCTGAGTCCCTCCTGTCTGTGGCTTGGCCTGAACCCCCCTAACCACCGCCCCCTACACCTCCACAGGAACCCAGAGGGAGATGAGGCAGCTGATAGTTCTGCTGCCCGAGTTTATTTAGAGAAAACACAGTAAGAGCTGGGCTGGGCCTTCCTGTGGTCGCAGAGGAAGTGCTAACGGAGGGTGGCAAGACAGGCAGCACTCCTTGCAAAGTGGCCGGAGGGGGATGAAGAAACAGGAAAAGGGTCTGCCTCAGAGACGGCCCCATGGCAGGCCAGTCCCACCCAGCCCAGCAGCCTCCGCAGCTGCCTTGACCAGTGACAATCAAAGCTCTGCTTGGTCCTCTTCTGTAACAGGGAGCTCATCCCCCTCTAAAGTCACTAGAGAGAATGTTCTGCCACACCATGTGGCCTGTTCATGTGTACAAGAGGTTCCCATGTCTGGAAATCTTTTTTTTTTTTTTTTTTTTGAGACGGAGTCTCGTCTCACACAGGGCTGGAGTGCAGTGGTGCAATCTCAGCTCACTGCAACCTCCGCCTCCCTGGTCAACCATCTCCTGCCTCAGCCTCCCAAGTATCTGGGATTGCAGGCACTCGCCACCACGCCTGGCTAATTTTTGTATTTTTAGTAGAGACGGGGTTTTGCCATGTTGGCCAGGCTGGTCTCAAACTCCTGACCTCAGGTGATCCGCCTGCCTCAGCGTCCCAAAGTGCTGAAATTACAGGCGTGAGCCACCGCGCCTGGCCATGTCTGAAAATCTTGACTGGGCTCAGAAAATATACAGTAAAAGTCTTGTGGGATTCTATAGTCACCCAAACCAGCAAGAACTCCTAGAATGTCTCCGGCACCCACTCCTTTGGGAAAGAGAGGATCCAATCAGACTCTGTATTCCACTCTCATGGCCCCTGCCTTTTGAGTATTATTTCATCTGCTCATTCATTCATTCACTCACTCA